AAAAAAAAACACACATCATGGTAAAATCAATACATTCATCGCTCCGCTCAGAATCTAAAATTTCATTTCATTAATCAGAAAATCCGGAACACAGTACAGACTAAATGGTAACAGCGCATGGTTTTCTATGTATAAAAACAATCTGCCAGACAATAGTCAGTTTCAGTGCTAAAAATCTCGCCAAATACATGGTAGTGAATTATTTTTTAAAATTTTTTTCATTCAATTTTAAAACTAATTCATGTTAATTTCTGGTCATGCATTATTTTTACTTTTTAAAATTTAATTTTATGTTTTTTTTTGGCTGCTTATTATGCTTTAAAATCCAAGCCCTAATTATTAACTGTATAGTTCCTTTATAGTTTTTTTTTTTTAATTTAAAATAAAGTAAAATGTTTTTAATTAGATAAAATATTTTTTGTTGCAAAGTTAATAAGACAAGACATCTAGGGATGACTACTTTAATGTGAGAAATGGAAGGAAGATTATTTTGCAGCTAAAAGCCTCCAATGGCCTTGATAAAATAAAACTGTATTGTTCTTATAATTAAATATAATCCTAGATATTAATAATTTAAATTTAAACCTTAGCATAACGTGTAGTTGAGTCTATGTATACCAATAAGGAAGTTTGTTTAGAATCCACATTTGCAACATAATTTGATGACGAGCAAGATGGTTTATTTGCACGAACAAATCCATTATTGACAGATGATCGTTTATCTACACGAATAAGCCCACTATTAACAGGTGATGGTTTATTTCTTGCTTCTATTATATCTGTTGAAAATATACATCATATTTTAGAAATTAAACTAATATTTATTTTCATCATATATTTTTAGGTAATCCTAAATATATATTATTATTACACTGCACAATGATTTTTTAACCATGCAACCCCTCCCCCCCATTTTTTCTTTAACTACATTTATACAAATTCTGAATTTAAATTTCTTAAATATATTACGTAAGACCATATTTTCAAATTTCTGATAACTTTTGTACTACTTAAGGCATGTTCTGTGAAGATTTAAAATTCTTTTGTTCAAATGAGAACTTTTTTTTTACTTCAAACTGTTAAGAAATTTTTTTTTTTTTAATTTTGATGTATCTAAATCAAAATTGTTATAAATAGTTTATGAGTTATTAAAATGTATAAACTGAGGAGAATAATCCTTAAAAATAGATTTATAAAAATATAAACTAAATGTAATTAGATGCAGCATATATTATACTCGGATCATTTTCACAAATTATTTGTATTTATAAATCAATAGTTAAATAGTAGTTACTAAGTTTTTAAAATGTTCAGGTCCTCACATCTACTTAATCTATTATCATAGACATAATATCATCCTTAATACACAGTTATATAACTCTATTTGATCTTGATTTAGTCTTACATCATAATTAAAAAAAAAAATTGTGTCAAAAAATGATGAAAAACAGGGGTAGTACCTACCTACTTAAAAACATAAGTTTGTATTGTCACAGGATCATCTTAAGTGGGACAATAAATCCTAAGAAATGAAGAAATCACAAATAGTCTTCAAATGCACTTAAAAATTCTATAAATCAGAATTTGTATATAATATGCATAATTTAATCATACAAATAGGGTGAGCATGCTTAAATATCAATCTGTACACTGACATAAAAAAACATGGTCCAAACATTTAAACATTTAAATATGAAATAAAAAAATTACTAACATAGGGTATTAAATTTTCTAGTTGTCTGGTAAAAAGCAAAATTCAAAAGGGGCTAAGCAACATGGAGTATTAGTTGATATAATTAACAACTGTCAACCAATTAATAATGAGATATTTTATTTTATTTTCAAGATAAATCACTTATCAATAAAAATACCAAAAAGTAGGGACTACGTTTTTTTTTTTAGGGTAGATACAAAAGACTTGTAAAACTGAGAGAATTTGTAACCAGCTAAATTATAATGAAAATAAGTAATTAATAATTCAAAAGTTAAGACAAAATAAAATAACAAATTATTTATTTGTTTCTTACCATTATCTAAAAATAGAGATGGAACAGCATCAGGTCTTAATCGGTTTTTTCTTTCAGAATTCACAAAACAATCATTGTCAAAATGTACACGGCATACTCTCAAGCTACTTTTTACTTTTTTAGTGGGATCTAACTCTAGACCACACTTTTCTATCCACTTTTTTCTCAATGTGAAATCACTAGGGTAGCCAAAGAAACTAATATCTTTTGAATATCTGTTGAGGCAACTTTTAACAGAACAGCGTACTCCATTTCCCAAAGTGTAGTCCTTTAAAATTTAAATATATAATTCATTTAAAAATATATACAAATGTTAGAAACAGTTAAGGTTTATTGACAATAGTGGTTAAGTACAAATTAAAATATAATATGAAGTAAATACATATTTTATTATTAAAACATTGAGTATAACATTCAATAATCTTGTTTGAATTTTTTCTATAATCTATATATTTGGGATACCTTTGAATATAGAAATATAATTTATGACTAGAGGCCAATTTCTAAATAACAAAATCATAATACTCTACAAAATACTGTTCATAACATAAGTTAATTTTTTCTTTTTTAAATGCTTTTATTCTGGTATTTAAGAGGACGCCACACCCGCATGTGTTGTCTACGTCGTACAAGTGCGTAGCATAGCCAATTTTACGTTCAGCAGATCAAGTTTATCTCCGTTAATTTAAAATTTAGAGTGAATTGACCTATAATAAAAATTAAAGGCAAGATTATTACCGAGGGTACCTCATGGGCTTTTTATTATATTTTAATTTTAAAGCGAGTTATGAGTATTTTAAAWTTGTAAATTATTTTTATATCTAAAAATACTCATAACTCTGTTTAAAATTAAAATATAATTAAAAATTCCATGTGATGCCCTCGGTAATAATCTTGCCTTTAATTTTTATAATTGGTCAATTCACTCTAAATTTTAAATTGAAGGTGATAAAAGTGGTTAGCATACTAACCATTGCCTCTCAAAGAGTTAACTCGGTGTTAAAGGAGCTATGCTTCAGGGGCGGTAAATTTATAGTGATGACAATGGTGCCATATTCTAWTTAGTAAATTATTTTTACTCAATTTTTATTCCATGGCTATAGCTTTATGGTAGTTCTCTACCATTAATTTAATATTAAACTATACTGTTTGGTCTTTACCGTAAGTACCCATGATCTTGACGAAACTTATTGTTTTCACTGTCTTTATTTTCTTTATGGTAGATAACTTTGTTTTTATTTCTTTTGTAAAAAAAAAATATTAATTTTTAGTTAACTCGCTGATCTAAGAACTATGTTACCCATTAAAATTATAAACTTGTATAATGATTAAAAATGTATGTTAAAATTGGTCACTTCATGTTAGTGTAGTAATACTCAAAACTTCCAATGACAAATTGTAATGGTTTTACCCCATCTTAATCTCTATTAAAGATTTTAAACACAGTCATATAAAATATGGGTCTACAATTATATTCAATCATACTTCAGGAAAGACTAACTTTCATTCACAAAGGACATAGATACATTCTTAAAAATAGGTCCTGCTGAGCCATTATATAGTATTTATATACAGTAGATATCCTTGTGGATATTCCCTAACTGTGGCTAAAAAACATATTCCAAAAGTTTTCCAAAAAGAGTTGAAGAGCTTGAAAACGAGTCACTTGGACTGGATGCCTACTAGAATTCCTGCTGAACTTAGTACAGCCAGATAAAACATACCTGCTAGAATTGAAGAATAATATCATACAATTTGGTAACCAAAAAATATACTTTAAAGAAAATAAGATGGTTGCATTCAAAAAACAGGAAAAAATGAAATAGGTAGCTCTAAACTTGTCAAAAGAATCCAACAGTTAATAGAAAGCATACTTATTAGAACAAGCTAGATTCAGAGAGAAGGGTTCATATTACAAAATAAAAGTTGAGCCTATATGTTGGACTTCATAAATGCCTTGAAATTGAAACAGTCTTCACAGATCTAGTCGGGGATCTAATACTTGTGTATGATACCATATTATGAGGACTACTAAAATTATGAAGTCGTTTCATGCAGGAAGTGAGTTGACCTTATTAATAGGCTTCAGAAGTTGTAGGAGTTGCACATAATTATATTATATGCTCTCGTCCTCTAGATATATAGTAGTAGATCTATCTAGGAATCCGAGCTATACAAGGATGAGTTTGATAAATCCCGGAATATAAATCCCTAATCCTAGGAAAGAAATGCCCAGATTACAATATGAGTCACATGAAAATGATTTATATAAATATTGTTTACTAATAGGTATATTATAAATTATACTTATAATTCAAAAAATTAGTAAATATAGTACTATAAAATAAAAATAATATGTTTAATAAATGTATGTATAAATATAAATAAACAACTTCAATTCAATAACTAACTGTGATTGTTTAGTTATTACCAAAATATTTTTTATACTATTTTTTTAGCAATTAAAAATTTACTGAGTATAGATGTATTATTATTATTACCCAATCTATATTTTATACCATATTGCCTCAATCATTCAAAATATTTATTTAAATATATATTATAAATTTATTTAAAATTATTTATAATGTTATAAAATATATTAATTTTTGAAGAAGTATAATATACCTATATTACCTAAATATACTATACATATTAGTAATTAAATATTAAAACCACTTTCATATGGTTGAGAAATATTGTAGTCTGGGAGATTTTTTTTCTGGGTCATTCGTAAGTCAATTTTTATTTCGATTACAGAGTTTAATGCATACAGACTTGACATAAGAAATACAAGTATATTTTTTTCTAACAGGGCTATAATGTTATATTTTATTGTTTATAATTATTAAATTAGTTTATTTACTTCATTAATAATTCGTTCTTAGCTATAAATTATGTTAGGCACGATATCTTTAATAATATAATATTATTATGTATTTGATAAAAGTTGTAAGTTATGAATCATGGTTAAATCAGTAATACTATTTGAATAAAAATATGATTGTTATGTTAGAGAGATAAGAAGATGACGTATCTAGGTAGTTGTATTATATCTATCAGGTCATATCCTTAAATACATTATTTTTGATCTTTTTCATAATAGATGATTTAAATAMTGAAATACCTGCATAAAAAAAATGACTATGCGTAAATGTGTTGCTTTGCAAGTGGACCAGAGAGAGAAAATAAATAGTGGGCCGACAATCAACATCCTCTAAAATGATATTCTTTAATTTCCTATGCATTCAAAATAAATTAGATGGTCTATCAATTTTKGCTAATAAAGACTTAGCTTAATGAAAAATGTTATATTTGGTTGTAACCTAATTTTTGTTTCTTTTTCGAAGTCACATAATATTTTTTTTAACTGCTATTTATAAATCATCTTATGTTGATTCTAAACTTTTTTTATAATCTCTAAATTATAATTTTTTATATTATAATTCAGATTAAACCAAAATAATTGTTAACATAACATTGTTAGGTAACTAAATAAAGATACTGAAACAAATGACTATTTAAACATTTTATGTTTTAACTCTGCGTGTAACTCATATACCTACTTGACTCCAAGTAACAAGAATTCAAAATTCTGAATTGAGCATAATATGTTTATTAAAAATATAAAAAGTCAATTTACAGATTATTGTGTATTGCACTGCAGTATAACTGATCATTATGGTATAATATCAAGTATTAAATTAGATATTTTAAATGAGGACAAAAAAAATATCAATCTAGTTATACAGAACACTAAAACGATTTATTATTAACATTTTAAAACTGTTTTTCATTGGATGGAACCACACAGGTTAGGTAGGTAAGACTCCAAATTGGTATATAAATAATATAGTAGATAACATTATCTTCGTAGAATATTGTTTTTATTTGTTTGATCACTTAGACAAAAAAATTCTAATTGTTTCAAAATTCATAATTATTTGTGTTTTTCTAACTTGAAACAACTTTGTTGTCCCGATATAAAAAAAATAAAAACAATATTTCACAACCTAAATTCTCCTCTTAAGGTGGTAATAGTAATTTTGTTTCTTAGTTATGTCTGTTGCCTTGCCGGTTCTTTCCCGAACAAAACAATTTTTGTTATGTTAAACAATTGTAAGATGAACTACTGTTAGGGAATATCTATGCCTACGAAGCGAGTTATGATTATTTTAAAATACACATAACTCGCTTTAAAATCAAAATACAAAAAAAAGCCTATTAGATAACTTAGATAATAATGTTACCTTTAATTTTTATAAGAGGTCAATTCTCTTCAAATTTTAAACTAATATAGCTAAATTGAAACTATTAAGCAGCTGGTGAGACCGAAGTACCCCGACTGTAAATCTCTGCGGCTCTCGACTAGCGCTAATGTGATGTCTGCGGTTATAGCCGCAAGGCAACAAAACCCAAGAGTCCTCGTGTTAAGCGTAAAATTTGCTACCTTACGCACTTGTAAGACAGAACAACACATGCAGGTATTGTGACCTCTTAAAAATTAGAAATATTACAGAAGGGTTTTCAGAAATATTTAATTTGGTACATGGAGTTAACTATTTGTTTACCCTTCCCTCTTTAAGTTATTTCAAAAAACTTAGTTTATTATTATAAGAACCTGCATTTCACTTAGATTATATAGATACAATCTTTCCACGTCCACCATACTTTGATTTTTTATAAAAACCAACCCTATATATATTTTTAATATTAAGCTATAATAAAATAAATACTAATTTTAAATGTATAATAAATTATTTAAAACAAATACGCCCAACCAAACTTTATCTGGTTGTTAATAATAAAGATATATGTAGATGAATTTTAGCATTAATTAGGCAATAAAAGAAAATCTGATAACAATAGTTTTAAGCATTTTAGCAACACCACTGAAAAACTCAATGATTTTCAATTGCAAATAAACTTATCGCTGTCAAAACTATATGTGCCTATAATATGGGATTCTGGTTTAATAATGATGGAAATCCTTATAAACATAAATCTTTTATCTGCCACAACATCATCTCTCCCTCAAGCTCAAAATTGTCTAAATGCACACGAGTGAAATATAATATTAAATTATATTCATATTATAAAGCCATTTGAAATAATGACTTCAGACTTATTCTTACAAATGATTTAATATCATCAAAATTTAAAAAAACAAGTAAGTAAGTGGATGTCACACTGCTGTACAGTAAGGTAATTGTAATGGTTGATATTACATTTGAATTCAATGATAGGCATATAATATCATTGTATACG